GGTTGGTGAAGAAGTCAAAAGGGGCTATGCCGTTCCTGTTGCAGTTTAGGGAGGGTTTAGGGCTTTCAGGGTTAAAGGTTAAGGGTTTAGGGTTTATCTTAATGTGCAATGGCCCTTTCTCCGCAGCGACCGGGTCTAGGGTTTAAGGTTTAGGGTTTTTTAGGGTTTTAAGGTTTTTCTAAGCATTTGGGGCTGAGGTTTGGGTGCATTGGTTCGGCCTGGGGACTTGGGGTTGTTCGGGCTTAGAAGTTTGGGGTTCTCTTACGGCCGTGGGAGTTGTTCACGTGCTCAACTGTGCTGGTCGCGCAAGACAAATTCAACATGCCATGGCAAAAGCGCTGCTTACAGGCGCGCCATGCGTGTGGTTAAATATCCACACGTGAGAAGGAAAAAGAAGCCCGCGACACCGTCAGCCGTCCTGTGCTGGCGTCAGCATCGTCCACCATGGGCGTGGACCGGCGGTCACCATGCTTGGTCTCCAAGCATGTGCCCCCGTTTCACACTTGGCAGGTGTATCACGAATGTCTGCATGGTCGTAAATGTGACGGCACCGTGCCTGTGTTTTCAGATGCTGGGCTAATCTAGCCCGCGTCCAAAATTCTACACAACATACTTCACAACGCGAGCCCACTGCGCAAGCCGCTGGGAGGGATCGGATCCCGTGCTTATGCGCTCTATGCGCTCCCACAGCCTTGTGGGTAGAGAAAGCACATTGGCAGTGGTCGCAGTGCCAGGGCAGGAGGGTGCTGCTGGCCGCCGTCACCTCGACACCCTCGCAGGGTGGCCTTTGTCGGAGAGTTGTGCGGTCAACGGCTCGTCCCTGAACGGCTGTGGCAAGGTAGCGCCTGCAGGCCGCCTTCACCTTGGCATTATCCATGCTGGCAGAGCGGATGATTTCCGCAAAGTCATCAGTGCTTGCCTTGTGGATACCGACAGCCTGTAGGGCAGTGCAGGCATCCGACCACCATGTGGAGTCCAGGTGGAACTCCGTCAGGACGTCATGGTGAGCTGCTCTGGCGAGCTGACAGATAACCCGAGTCCGCTCGACGTGAAGGAGCTCCTCCGGAAGAGGAAGCTCCAGGATGCCGGCAATTTCAAGGCTAGAGTAGCCCCGGCTCGAGATGCCGACCAGCGGCTGGAACGCGCCTCTGTAGAAGCTGTGGAGAGCCTCGGCCACCGCATCGGATTCCCTCCGAGTCCGTATGGTCCATAGCCCCGAGCCATACAAAAATCGGCTGATCACGCGGCTTTTTAGCACCAGCTGCTTTTCGGAGAAGCTAAGCGCCGGATTGCGCAAGATCCTCACCGGCAGATATACCTCACGTGCCAGGCTTTTTCGCCGGAGTATGTCTGGCAGAGCTTGATTGTCGGCTTGTGCCAGAAACCCTAGATAAGGGTAGGTCTGGACCAGGCGAATATGAGCGGGGCCATGGCGTGTGGCAAACTCTATCTGCGGTGACTCGGTGCCCAGCAGATCACGTCGGGCCTGTCTGGACCCTGCCCCGTGTAGGGCCACCAACGCCTCGGTTTTCCCCATCCCATGGTTGGCGCTCATGCCTGCCGCCAGCAGCTCTTCGGTGAAGAACTCCATGGCCTGGGACACGGCAGTGGTAACCTGGCTGGCAGCCGTCGTTCGCACCAGGATACTCACGTCGTCCGCCCAAGTCGGCGTAAAGCCAGGCTTGGAGGCATCAGCGCGGGTAAGGCTGGCATGGTATCCTGCTGAGATGAGGAACTCCCTGGTGCGGCGGAGTATGCCCCCGAAGATGATGGAGAAAAGGAGGTCCGCAAGTGGCGCTCCAGGAACCGTGCCACTTCCCGCGACGAAGGCGGAGTCCGCATCATGGCGACTGACATACCAGGTAAGCTCAAGCTGCTTTTGGACGTAGATCCGCAGCTCCTCATGGTCGGCAAAAGCGGCGGCAGCCATGTCCTCACGAGCCATTGCCACAAATCGCTCCTGTAAGTCGGGCTCAGTGAAGAGCATGGCTGCCCGGCGGCGGAGGAATGCATCATCGCAGCGCTGCTGCTTCGTGAGGGACAGGAAATCTCTGGTGATGGTGTAGTAGGCTGCAGTGGCGTCTATGAACAGGATGGCCCCCGACGCCCCGGTGCGGCGGAGCTGGAGAAGGTGCGCCTTGACAAAGGAGGCCGGGTGGCTGAGGGGAACCCCTGGCCTGCCGCCAAACTGATCGGCAGTGCCCAAAGTGGGCAGGAGGCTGAGCAAGCTGTCCCGGTGGGCAGTCTGGCAGGCTTTATTGTCACATTCCAGGAGAACGATGGACCTGAACCCGTTGTGAGCCGTATGCGGTTTGCCTGGCTTTGGCACTGCGATTGCAATGCCTCCGGGGGGGTCCGTTCGGAACACCTCTGGGCACAGACCCGAGATTCCCGGTGCGCGCCCTCTCTTGAGAGAGCAAATCCTGACGCCAGTCCGGCCAAGGAAGGGAGGGACTGTCCGCGGAGTGGGGCCGCCGGGGCCTGGACCTGGGTGTCTGCCGGGAATACATGTTAAATTGGCTGTTCAAAGAAGCGGCCGAAACTATCTGCCGTATCACATCGGCCGAATGGCTGCGGGGTCACATCCGAGAGGCTCGGCAGCAAGGCAAACGGCTTGTAGCGGCGACCCGTTCGGAGGATAGCCCGCAGTCTGTGGGCGAAAGCGGCTGGCCCATCCGATCGGGCTTGCTGCAGCATGCGCCGTGTGAAGTCGGCCCTGTCCGCCCAGAGTGCGGCGCGTAGCTGCTTCCCTGTGCGGTACTGGTCGTCCGGTCAGTTCGGAGCAAGCGCGGCCTGGTGGCCGTTTTGTAGGCCCAAGCATGCAGGCAGAGTTGCAGGTAAGCTCTGTCAGCCACACTCTGTGCACGTCGGGTACACCTGCGGAGGTGGCGATGCAATCTGACCAAGTCCAGCGTCGGCTGAGTGATAGCAGGATTGTGCGGCCGGGGCGGCCGTTGTGGCGTAGCACAGGCAATTTGGGTATGCATGTGTGCCTGGATCCGATCAACATGGGCCGTGCCTTGTTCAGACCATTGGACGACAGGACAGGTGATGGCTGCTGTGGTGACCAGTGCGCTGGCGCCATCGTCCTGCCAAAGGCGTGGATCTATCGTACACCGCTGGCCCCTGGGAGACCCATCCAGCGTGAGCTCGATCCGCAGGAGGAGCGGCTGGTGGTCGATGTCCTCGTATAGGTCGCCAAGCTTCGGCGATTGCAGCAGGGTGCAGCAGGATTGCCAAGCGGTGGGGAAGGCGATGTAGTCAATGGCCTTCTTGACTCCAGCCGGACTGATCCAGGTGACCACCGGCTCTCCATCGGGATATGCCTGTGGTGTTAGGGCGAGCTGCCTTGAGTCAGCAAACTGTCGCAAGTGGCCGAATTGCCACACACCGGTTGGGCAGCCAGGGTGTCGGGATCATCGGGGTGTCTCTGGAATGTAGCATTAGCGTCCAAGAAGAAGATTGGGAGGCATTTGGAGGGAGTGCGGTGTAGCACGACCCCCAAATGTTGCCACCAGTCCTGGAGTTTGTCTGCAGGGGTCGTCGCCGTCATTGCATGTGCGGACACCAAGAGGACGCGGGCCTCTTGGTACTGCCCCAAGACAATCAAGATCTGCGGCTCGCAATGCAGGATTGAGAAGGCCTTAGGGTCCCATCGATCTGTTTTTCTGACCCAGATCTGTGTGCCCCCTTGGCCCGAATCTGAACAGGAACCGCTCAGGACCCAGAATGCACCCGTGGTAGAGATGCCGTCCCTGTGGAGTCCAGTTTCTTGGATCCCAGCGATATCGACCCTTGCCTTGTTCAGGCCTTTCTCAATCAACTCCAGGGCACCTGGGGCCTTGAGTGAGAGGGCATTGTACTGTAGCAAGCGCCAGCAGACCGAGATGGGCTTGGCCTCTCGCACGCTCTGGGTCATGCAAAAGGGTCGGCAGGGGAGTTTGGATGCAATGGCGCAGCTGGCCGCCGTCCAGGTCCCGTTTGGCTGCAGCGGCGGCATGCGCGCGTCAATGGCAGGGTGCCGCGGCACCAGCCATAGGGCATCGACTACCCTCTCGTCTATAGCCGCCCATAAGGCTTCAAAGGTGGAGTCCAGGTGAGCGGGTTCCCCAAGTCGGCCTACCGCCTTGGCGATCTGGTCAGATAAATCATTGAAGGCGCCCGATGTGGACCTGAGGGCAACCGGTGGCAGCTGCCACGCAGAGAGCATGCAGGATTGCCTCTAGCTCCCCGTCGTATGCAGCGTCTAGTCTGTGGAAGCTGTGCTGGGCATGGGCAGCTCCACGTGCCAGCACCGGCCCCAACGCGGACAATGCGCCATCCCTGCCGTGCAACGACAGACACGGCCCATGTAGAGCCTGTGCCTCCCGGGAAAAAGGATCCGTCTGTGAAGAGAAAAAGTTCATCGCATCGGGTCCCAGGGTCCCATTCAGGAAGGGTAAGCCAGTGGCTTAGTGCAGTAGAGTCAGTGACCCCAAAAGCCTGTGGCTCAACTGCAAAAGACGCTAGGCTATGTGCCGCAAACGTCGCCTCAGCAATGTCCTGGTTGACACCCCAAGTGATGGCAGCTGGCGGGGAGGCAATCAACCGGTCCAAGTAGAGGGTGCACGGCTGAGGAGGCATGGCCAGATCATGGGCAGCAGAGGTCCGTGCAGGTCCCTGAGCCAGGGAGTTGCAGCCCGACTGCAAAGGACTGGCGGCCTCGGTGTGAGCGTGGACTCGGGGTGAGGGCCGGGTCGGCGATCGGCCGGAAGGTTCGGCGACCGAAAATGGTGTAGCGATGGTGTGCGAGGCAGCCGCAGCACCGCTTTCCTAGGTGGTCAGCTCGGCCACTTCCGGACAGGCAACCCGGCCCCGAACGCAGCCGCATTCATCCTGTAGGTCCTGCGCCACAAGCAACTCTCTGCACCGGCGTTCCTGCTTGGCTCTGAGGTCAAGAAGTTGGACCAAGGAAGTCCCACGCTGGAATGCTCTAGCAGCCTGCTGGTGCTGGGTATTGGTCAATGGCACAGTGCGCTTGTGGCGGAGAGCAGAGCCTTGCCGAACATGCGGCGGAAACACCAGGTGAAAGCCCCGCCGGACTGGGAGGTCAAGAGCCTGTGGCTGCGTTCCAGGCGGCAGCCATGGAAAGTAGGAGCTGGCACCAGGCCCAAGTTGGTGGTCCCGGGTGGGATCGACAGGAACAGAGGCGCATGTTGGTGAGTGAGCTCGCAGGTATCTGCAAAAGTTGTGCCATGTGCGAACAACCCCGTGGCTGTCATCGCCTCCATAGCCTCCTGGAGGATGGGGGTAATCCTGCCCGGCACATATAGCAGGGCCGGCGCATGGTTGGGGCCCTGGACAAAAACCGGTTGCGTGTCGGCTGCTGGCCGTCCCATTGCATCCGCCTGCTGCGCAAGTCTGGTCTGGAGGTATCGCAGGAACGCATCCCTGACCTGTGTCTGCACTAGCTGATTGAGGGGCTCAGCCGTGGCTCGCTGCAAGCGCGGGACCTCAATGGGGAAGGCAAAGCAGCGCAGATCGGGCAACAGTTGGTAGAGCCAGTCGGTTGGCGCAACCCTATGCTCTTTGGGCCGTTGGATGACCTGTGCGTAGTCACCGGTGCAAAGGTTTCGCCGAACCGCTGCTTGGGTGACACCGTTGATTGCTGCAACGTAGCCTTGCCTGGCCTGTGCATCACCAACCAATTCCTCCGGCCTGGAGCGGGCATCCAGAGAGACGGACCCCACCATGGATCCATCAGCTGAGGGGTCAAGGACTACATGGATTCGATCGTCCTCAGGGAACAGCGTGAAGACGATCGTAACATGTTGCAGCTGTCTGGGGTGAGGCTGTGCCGAGGCAATGACAATCCGAGAGCGCTGTGGCAGTCGCCTTTGTCGGGCAATGGCCATGATAAGGTCAGCAATTGAGCTTGCCACGTTGGGTTGGCTCAAGGGCTGCGGGTGCAGCCTAATGGTGATGCCTAGCCCCACAAGCACCATAGAGACGAGCTCGACTCTCTCAAGGCCAATTGTGTGCGTGGTGGTAACTGTCCATAGCCTCAGCCCTCAGGTCAGCGAGCCTAAGCCACTGGAGCTGGGTGAGGTCGGCAGGTAGCTCTTCCCACACATTGCCCTGAGCATTAGAGCCCTCCCAATTGGCAGAGTATGGGCCGCTGCAGGACCCCAAGGACATCGGCCTATGGCTGCATCAACGACCTCACCTGCCTGCATGCCTCCTCTGAGCAAAAGCGTGCACGGTCGACCCCCGACGGGCCGAAGGTCCAGAGGGACACATAGCTCGCCCGGGGCTGCGTCTGCTGGCGTAAGCACCAGCTGCGGCACCGCTAGGTTAGGCATGTGATTCGTGATCAGCTGAACAATCTTGATCGGCTCGTCTGCGGAACGAATGGCCTCTGAAACAAGGTCATTGAGGGACCATCCGTAAGCCGCAGTGCGTTGAGAGTGGTGTCGCTGCCTGTCAAAGACAGAGTACTTGAGCAAGCGCCTGGCAGGGCTCGGCTCGAGGGCGAAAAGCCCAAGCTGGTCGACCGGTATTTCGTTGACTGGGTATCGACCAAGGTACTCTGGGAGGAAATTGATCCGGTTGAGCCCCAGCTTGCTGAGGTCAGAAGGTCGAGCGGGGCCCATTTTTCCAAGAAGTCCTGGTGTCACCTCAGGGCTGGGCTGTCCTGGAGGGAGTACCTTGGGAACCGCCGTCGGTAAGGAAGTCCCTTGATCCTTGGTCTCGCAAGGCAGCATGCGAGATTCGCAGGCTGCGGTGCACGCAACAGGCGGCACACGCTGTGGTGGATGTAAAGTGGGCCTCCTGGCAAGGAGGGAATGGCAGAAAGGGTGTCGGAACAGGGGCGGAGCGCTGGCCAGGGTGGCGCAGGATGTCCGGGTAAAGGCACGGCAGGTGGACAGGTGCAGTGCTGGGCTCATCCCGCACATGCTGCGACAGGGAGTGCTTGCAGGCAGTGTCAACCTCCGGGTTCGGAGGTGAGAGCGGCGCACGTTGCCTGGCGAGGCACGGGGGAGGAAGTTTGCATGGTCGTGCGGCCCGGTGGTGGCCCGGAACATGTGGGTTGAGGGGGCGCCCTGGCTCCACGTAAGAAACCCGCGACTCAAAAGAAACACGCCCTACTCCGAAAGCGTCACTTCTATGTACAGTATTATACAGGGCTGGCCTCAAGGGACGGCTCGAAGCTGCTCGTGGAGCAATCAGGATCGCTTCGCCCACTGCGTCAGAACCAGTGTCCGCGTCACCCATGTGGCCACTGGTCTTCTGGAAAGTGGACGAGAGCGCATGCTGAGTACTCCGGTCTGCAGCTGCGCCGAGCCCTGGGTCACAGCCTGACGAAAATGCGGTCTCGCGTCTCTGCATCACATCCTGTCCTGAGGCCTCACCTTGTCCGGAATAGGTCAGGGCAAGAATGCGTGCATCGCATTCAAGTGTAAGCTCGAACCCAAGAGCTTCCACGGCTACTTCATATTCACGGCGAAGTCCAAGGACACTTGCCATCTGAGCGGGGACAAAGTCATCCTCCCCGCAGACCGAGTGTCTCAGCGCCTCGCCGGAGAGGCATGTCGGCCTCGTGCGGCCAAAGGGGCCCGTCACGAGGCCTTCCCAGGGTGCGCCGTGTCGGACGGCGGCTCCGTAGGCTCCTCCTTCGTCTTCGATCTGCGTCTTGGCAAGCGCTCCCTCTCGGAGCTGGCGGACAGCTGCTCCTGCGCCACTCTGACCGCCTCCGCTAGGCTCGCGGATAGCTTCGTCTCTTGAGCTCGCAGGAGCTCTCTTGCCCGAGCTCTTTCTAGCTCGAGTTGCGCAGCATCCGTGATCATGGCATCCACGGCTTCCATCTCGTCGCTGGAATCCCCGATCTCGACCGTCCCTTCCGTACGGCTCGAGGTCTGCTTGGCGAGCTCCTGCGTGGTCTCGTTGAGCTGTGCGGTCCATTTGGCCTCCGCTTCGTCCAAAGAGGCTAGCATGGCCTCTTTCTCCGCCAAGCTCTTTTCCCAGGTGGCGCCCAGCTGCTGCATGTACTGGGCCCACTGAGTCAGGTAGGCCTGCCTCGTCCTGCCCACCTGTTGGAGCTCCGTCTTGGCATTCGCCTGCGAACTCACAAGCTTGTGCAGGACTCTGCTCTCCGCTTTGTGGTCCAGGCTGGTTTGTGCATCCAGTAGCTCGAGTACAGCTTGTGGAAGGTCGTGTCGCGACTGGTTCAAAGCCCCCGAAGGTTCTGCAATAGCTGTGCCTGTGGCCCAACTTCCACGGCCGCTGGCGTAGAGGGCCCAGCTGTTGCGGGTGCCTCCTTGGGCATGTTCACAGGCAGCGCCGCTGGCGCTGTCGGCAGATCTCTCGTGGTTGCGTCGGCACCCTTGGAGGGGCCGCCTTTTGCACCAGAAGGCTGTCCTTTGCCGGCACCCTTGGGCTGTCCCGGCTGTTGATGAGCTCCCCCACCTCGTCGACGCGGTGATTTGGGGGCATTGGAGCGCCGGCGTGGGGACTGGGGTCGCCAGTCCTCTGCACCCGGCCACGGCGCCTGTGAACTCTGCGCATGGTAACTCTCTGCCACACGCTGCCAGTGCTGCCCACATCCAGGGCAGTACGCGAAAGATGCCTTGACTGCTTGTCTGCAGGTAGTACATCGCCACGCGCCGTTGTTGGCCATTGTTGCCAGTAGGGCCCTTGCACGCTGTGGCAGGCCGCTGCGGCTGTGGTGGGTCTCGAGCACTTGGCAAGCCTGGACCAGAGCGATCTGTCCAGGCCTGTACGTTCCCGAGACGAATCCTCGCAGGACTGTCCGGGCAGTTGTCCGTTTCCGCCGTACGCGCCGGTGTCGGGCGCTCTCCCACTGTCTCAGTGAGAGGAAGGCTTTCCAGCGGAGTCTCAGTGCCGCACCCAGTGTAATGACTGCCCAGATAGCAGATCCAGAGAATCCCAATTCTCCAGCTCATGCACAAAAGGCAGAGTATACAATCTCTGAAGGCACAGCCAGGTGCACTAAGGCCCAACCTGACTGTGCCAGTGGATGTAAAATCAAAGGCGTCCCCTCGCCACGCGTACAGGGACGATCCCAGTCTCCAGCCGAATATCGGGGAGAGGGAGGTGTCGAGCGAGCACAAAAGTAGTGCCGCGCTGGGGTCTCCGGCAAAGGCTGTAGCTCCACTACGTGCCTGAGCCGTAACGCCTCGGCCGTGGGAGTTTAGGGTTTAGGTTCAGGGGTTTAGGGGGTCTAGGGTTTAGGGGGCTTAGGGTTTAGGCTTTAGGGTTTGGGGTTTTGGGATGTCTAGGGTTTAGGTTTAGGGGTGGTGGGGCTTTGGGATTTTACAATTGGGTGTGCGGTGCAGGCCTGCAGGGCCCAAAACCCAAACCCCTGGCCCCTAAACCCTAACCCCCAAGCCTCCCCAGAGAGCCCAATACCCCTTAATTAAGGAATATAGCTTAAATCATAATATGAAGCCCTATATAATTTAAGCCATATTCCTTAATTAAGGGGTATTGGGCTCTCTGGGTCTGTATGGCTCTGTATTTAAACCCTAATGGCTTTTCGTTTCCAAACCTTCCTGGCTTGAGGCAAAACCCTCGAGACTCACCAGGGGTAGTTATAAGTGGGGTCAGAAGTCCCCTAATATGGGTTATGACTATAGCAGGTTTTCGGGTTTTAGGGTTTAGGGTGCTTCGATTTTGCGCCAAGCGCCCAAGCATGCCTGGATATAAATTTGCAAGGTAGGTTTGAGGAAATAAGAGGGGAGCCAAATATGAGCACAAAACCATGCCATCCCCGCTACCCTGAAACCCCTAAACCCTAATGTCAACTTGGAGGTTCATGGGGAGTTATAAGCGAGGTTATAGGTAGGGTAACTATAGTTATAACCCATACTAGCAAACTTATAGCCCCACTTATAACTACCCATGAACCTCCAAGTAGGCCCTAAACCCTATACCCTTATAGAATCCCTACAGATCCCTTGAAAGGCACCCTTCAAGGAACCCTTATAACTACCCATGAACCTCCAAGCAGGTCTAGGGATTTTCGATCGAGGATAGGTGCAGCAGAGTCTCACCCGGAGAGTTTCGAGCCATGTGGCATGGACCAACTTCAGTGAGTCCTGGGATGCCACGGATCTAAGGCCTAGGGGTGTGGAGGTTTAGGAATTAGGGTCTTAGGCTTTAGGGCTGGTAAGAGTGTTTGTTTTTTTGTTGTGGGTGCGTTTTTGCTGCGGGTGCCCGCGCGTTTTTTTTGTTTTGCTGCGGGTGCGCGGTGCGCAGCACCGTTTTTGTTGTTGCGGGTGCTTGTTTGCTGTGGTTGCTCCGGGCGGCGGGCAACGAGTGAGTGAGTAAGCTCTCGTTTTGTTTTTGCTGCGTGCGCACCCGGGGCTGGTGGTCGGGCAGAATCCAACCGGGGGGTGGGCCGGCCAGCCGGAGGGCACGTTTTTTTTGCTGCAGGTGCGCTGCGCCTTTTTTCGCTGCGGGTGCGCGGCAAGTTCACTCACTTGCTGCCCGCCGCCTCCGAGCATCCACTGCAAAACGACATTCAGGGTCTGCGTCGGGGTTTTTTTTTGTGCTGCGGGGTGCGCGAGCTCACTCTCTCACTCGCTGCCCACCGCCCCAAAGACCCACAGCCAAAAAGCACCCACAACAAAAACACACTGTTTCCGTTTGGGGCTTAGGGCTGAGGGCTTAAGGGTTTTGGGCTCAATGCGTCCGGCTGTTCTTTGTCTGTTGCGTTCTTCGTCTCTCTCTCTCTCTCTCTCTGTCCCTCTCACTCTCCCCCTCTCTCCCTCACTTTCAGTCCGCAGCTTCCATGCATACCACACACGTATATACGGAGCGAGGCAGGATGTGAGAGACACACCACCATGCTTTAGGCTGTAGGGTTTAGGGTTCGATGTGGGCATCATACAGTAAATGGGGCAAAGGCAGAGACTCAACCCCATACCTGTCAGTCAATACTCCCGGCCCTAGCCCAATTCCCCCCCACAGTCCGGAACCCAAGTTTGTGTTATAGGGTTTAGTGTTCAGGGTTTTTAGGGTCTAGGGTTTAGGGTTTGGGGGGAAGTGACCCCGACGACGCAAAATAAGCCCATGGATCAATCACTTCCTGCAGGGAAGACTCCAGCGCCTCGACGGAAACGACGCCTTGGGACACGGACTTCACCTGGACCCAGGGGCTTGGGTGATAAGGTTCCGGGTTTAGGGCTGTACTTAAAGGATCATGGGACTTAGCAATTGGGGTTAACAGTAAGGTAACTACAGTTATAATTACATATAACCTTAACTAAGGTACTTATAACCCTACTTACTAAGTCCCATGATCCTCCAAGTAGGGTTTCAGGTCTTGGAGTTTTTCTGCTTTAGGGTATAGGGGCTTTCAGGTCTAGACCCCGGGCCGCAGATTGGCGGGGAGATGCAGATTGAAGATGCTCACATCCTTGTGATTATAAATGTGGATCTACTTGGAGGATCATGGGACTAAGTAAGTAGGGTTATAAGTACCATAGTTAAGGCTAATTAAGGTTATATATAGTTATAACTGTAGTTACCTTACTTATAACCCCAATTGCTAAGTCCCATGATCCTTTAAGTAGAGTTCTCAAATCCCCAGACCCTGAACCTGCAACCCTAAAATGTGAGCACGCAAGGGTGTACATACACAGTCATGCACGTGCACTAGGGAAGAGAATGCATTAGATAGGAAAGAAAACCCTACATCTCCTAGGTCCAAGGCATACAAGTTTCCGGCCAAAGGGCCAAAGGCCTGGCTCACCTCGACACCTCTGGGGTGCCCACGCCGTGAACGTCACCCCAAGCCTTACAGGTCTTTGGGTTATAAAAACTTCATACGTCAAGAACCTCGAGTCCTTGATCTCGAAACCTACAGCCGAAACCCTGCAAACAAAGAGAACTACGCTTGATGATATAAATCCTGCATTACCCATAATAAGGAATATACCATAATTCCCCATAGCTTAGGGTCCTTAAGGTGATGCAGGATTTATATCCCTAAACCCTAAAACCCTATAGATTCCTTAAAGGAGCCCCTTAAAAGGTACCCTTATAGATCCCTTTAAAGGAACCCGTATGGTTATAACTTAACTACCGGATCTAAGGTTGTAAGCTATTTACGGAAGACTCGTTGTGTTACATGGGAGTTTCCGAAAATAGGGGACCCTAATGCAGGACCCCCAAATAGTAGGATCCTTACTTGGTGTGTGCGTCGACCCTCCCGAAAAATTTTAAGGGATCTGGGCCTGGGAGCCTCGCATATGATGATGACTGATGATGATGATGGTGATGATGATGTTGCGGCCCATGAACCTTGAACAAGCCTCGGAACCTGATGACATTGATGACAGATGATGACGATGAGGACTCCACGGGGCATGCTTAATTTTCCAAGCCTCGATGATGACTGGTTACCCTCAGTCAGGGAGTCTGTGTTCGACTGAATCTGCGACGGAACAAGACTCGCCGCAAGCAACCCAGCTCCCTGGGCTGAGACCTGTGCTGAGCCTGACAACCCAACGAACTATTCTACCTGGGAGCCTGGGAACCTAGGAACCGAACCTTTGCCGAGCCTCGTGATGATTGTCAGATTGTCATGTCACGGCACATGTCTCAGCCCAGCCAGGGAGGGAGTCTTGCGGCAGATCTTCAACCGCAGATGCATTCGGCAACAGTCGCAAAGCCGGACTGGTGAGGAGCAGCATCATCATATTATGATGATGTTTCTCCTAACCAGTCCGGCTTCCCGAGTAGCGGTTGAGAGCATGCCGAGCTTGCACACGCTCTCCTGCAGCCCGTGTCTGGGAACAGGCAAACAGGCAAAGAGTGTTAGTCTCCAGCAACCTTTTAGAAACTCTCAGACCAATCCGGCTGGACTACAGACAACTTGCAAGTCAACTCTACAAGCCCGTGGCACGCATATCCTCTGGGCCCCCTGGGCCTGGAAGCCTCGCATATGACTGATGACTGATGATGATGATGGTGATGATGATGTTGCGGCCCATGAACCTTGAACGGGCCTGGGAACCTGATGACATTGATGACTGATGATGGTGATGATGATGTTGTGGCCCATGAACCTTGAACGGGCCTGGGAACCTGATGACATTGATGACAGATGATGACGATGAGGACTCCACGGGGCATGCTTATTAAATTTATTTAAATTTATTATTGTAGCCTCGATGATGACTGTCATGCCACGGCACAGGTCTCAGCCCAGCTATTCTACCTGGGAGCCTGGGAACCTAGGAACCGAACCTTTCCCGAGCCTCGTGATGATTGTCATGTCACGGCACATGTCTCAGCCCAGCCAGGGAGGGAGTCTTGCGGCAGATCTTCAGCCGCAGATGAATTCGGCAACAGTCGCGAAGCCGGACTGGTTAGGAGAAACTTAATTAATTTCATTTGCGATTGCCGAGCTGAACCTGGAAGCCGATACGACACGGGCTGAAGGAGAACATGCCGAGCTTCGACACGCTCTCCTGCAGCCCGTGTGTGGGAACAGGCAAACAGGCAAAGAGTGTTAGAACCCAGCAACCTTGTGAAACCTAAAACTCTCAGACCAATCCGGCTGGACTACAACTTGCAAGTCAACTCTACAAGCCCGTGGCACGCATATCCTCTGGGCCCTCTGGGCCTGGAAACCTCGACTGATGACTGATGATGATGATGGTGATGATGATGATGATGTTGCGGCCCATGAACCCTGAACGGGCCTGGAAACCTGATGACATTGATGACTGATGATGGTGATGATGATGTTGCGGCCCATGAACCTTGAACGGGCCTGGGAACCTGATGACATTGATGACAGATGATGACGATGAGGACTCCACGGGGCATGTGTTAAAATTATATCTTTATTTAAAATTTAATTAGCCTCGATGATGACTGTCATGCCACGGCACACGTCTCAGCTGGGTTCAGACTCCCTGCCTGAGGGTAACAGACTGAGCCTGGCAACCCAACGAACTATTCTACCTGGGAGCCTGGGAACCTAGGAACCGAACCTTTCCCGAGCCTTGTGATGATTGTCATGTCACGGCACATGTCTCAGCCCAGCCAGGGAGTCTTGCGGCAGATCTTCAGCCGCAGATGAATTCGGCAACAGTCGCGAAGCCGGACTGGTTAGGAGAAACTTAATAATTTCATTTGCGGTTGCCGAGCTGAACCTGGAAGCCGATACCACACAGGCATGCAGGAGAGCATGTCGATTCGACACGCTCTCCTAGCCCGTGTGGGAACAGGCAAACAGGCAAAGAGTGTTAGAACCCAGCAACCTTGTGAAACCTTCAACTCTCAGACCAATCCGGCTGGACTACAACTTGCAAGTCAACTCTACAAGCCCGTGGCACGCATATCCTCTGGGCCCTCTGGGCCTGGAAACCTCGACTGATGACTGAAGATGATGATGGTGTTGGTGATGATGATGTTGCGGCCCATGAACCTTGAACGGGCCTGGGAACCTGATGACATTGATGACTGATGATGGTGATGATGATGTTGCGGCCCATGAACCTTGAACGGGCCTGGGAACCTGATGACATTGATGACAGATGATGACGATGAGGACTCCACGGAACTATTATTATATTTTATCAGCCCAGGGAGCTGTGTTGCCAGCGGAGCAATTCAAAGTTCTGCCGAACACAGACTCCCTGACTGAGGGTAACAGACTGAGCTTGGCAACCCAACGAACTATTCTACCTGGGAGCCTGGGAACCTAGGAACCGAACCTTTCCCGAGCCTCGTGATGATTGTCATGTAACGGCACATGTCTCGGCCCAGCCAGGGAGGGAGTCTTGCGGCAGATCTTCAGCCGCAGATGAATTCGGCAACGGTCGCGAAGCCGGACTGGTTAGGAAAACTTATTTTAGCCGAGCTGAACCTGGAAGCCGATACCACACGGGCACGGCATGCAGGAGAACACCTCGAGCTTCGACACGCTCTCCTGCATGCCCGTGAACCTGGGACGGAAGCGGCAGAATCTCTGCCGCTTCCACACTGTTTTTCTCCAGAAATTGTGACACCTAAAACTCTCAGACCAATCCGGCTGGACTACAACTTGCAAGTCAACTCTACAAGCCCGTGGCACGCATATCCTCTGGGCCCTCTTGGCCTGGAAGCCTCGCATATGACTCAGATGACTGATGATGATGATGATGGTGATGATGATGTTGCGGCCCATGAACCTGGAACGGGCCTGGGAACCTGATGACATTGATGATCGATGATGACGATGATGACTCCACGGCGCATGCTTAATTTTCCAAGCCGTTGAGCCTGGACCTGCAATTGATGTTCCGCGTGCACGCCGTGCATTCCCCGCAGCATCAATTCGAACCAGGTGTTTCCAGTGGAAACCCCTGGTTCGATTGATGCTGCGTGTGGCGCCTGGGGCCTGAAGTCTGTTGCTGCTCTGTTGCATGCACCGGCAGTGAACATCCACGGAACGGCCACCGGCAAGGTTTCCATGTCCCCAGACTCCCTGAGCGACTCTGCCACGGTCATCTGTCCGCCCTTAAAGGGTGGACAGATGACGGTGGCAGAGGCGAACCCAGGCGAACAACCATGGAGCCTGGCAGCAACCTTAAAATCTTAAATATTGGGAGCCTGGGAGCCTGGGAACCTATGACTAGGAACCAGTCTCAGCAACTCAGGCCACAAAGTCGGAGCGTCGGCTGGCGCCGGTGTGGGCACCAAAGCAGCCTGGCAACACGGGGAGCGACTGGGTTGCCTATCAGCAGTGACAGTGAAATTACATCATCCAGGGTCCTTTTAGGTGGGATGTTGGGCACCCACGAAGCAACCCTTCAATGCATAGAAAAGACCCTTCAATGCAACTTTTTTGAGAATCAGCGCGTTCAAGGGTCACAAGGTTGCATCCAAGGGTCCCTCAAAGACTAAGATGCTGCGGGATGTTGGCTGGGCACCCACGATAAAACCCTTCAATGCATCCAAAAGACCCTTCAATGCACCTCTCTTAAGAATCAGCGTGTTCAAGGGTCAAAAGGTTGCATCCAAGGGTCCCTCAAAG